CACTGTCGTGTTGAACTACCATGATTGATAAAACATATGGTAGGAAGGAGTTCATTCAAAAGTGTACAAAGGATAGTTCTTTAGCCAATAGCATTTCACACACATCACACAAAAGAGAGATCAATACTTTTCCAGTTTGTGTTATGATCTTTTACCCGGTGAACTTGGGTGTATTATGTTTCAGGTCATTTGTTTTGGCTGGATCTTTGTGTTATGTCTGTCTGTTGTTTGTCTGCATATTTGTGTATGTCTAGAGTCTAACTTGTTTTATTTGCCCAGCATGCTGGTTTCCATAAGAATAATACTGAACTTGGACTGGCAAAATAAGTGTCTGTATGTTTTTTAATGGCAGTACGTATATCTCTCACCACTGGGATGGAAGCGAAGGGCTTTGAAGACACTTCCAGGATCTATTCCTTCCGATGCATAGAACCGCAGATGAAAGTTCAACTTTTATAAGTCATGCTCTGGCTACCGAGGCTTGACTGACGCCGAGGTTGGACTCAACAGTTTCTCGTAAAACTCTTGTTTTCAATCAAAGTTACGAAATGATCAAGTCGGCTGAAGTTTTTGTTTCCTCAGCAAACAGTAAAAGTAGAGAGGGTTTCAAAACAGTTCGGTTTTGCAAAGAACAGATCGCAAAGATTTGAACTACCACTGTACTCAACATCATGCTTGTAGGCTAAAACTTGCAGTTGGCTCAATCAACCAGTTGACATGAGCCTTAGTTGATAACTTTAGTCTCTTACAGAGAGAAAAGAGACTCAGGTGTGTATCCTCCAAAAGAAACTCAGGTGTTCAGACTCAAAATAGAGTGAAACAAAACAAATGAAAAGCTGCCTTCGTTTAACTTTTCCAACCAGCTGCGTGAAAGCGTGTATAGGAGCTATGGGGGAAATGTAGCCTAATTAGGATCACTGTGATTCTCTGGGCTCGGAATGTTCTTATGATCAGTGAGTGACGTGTAATTACGCAATTTGTATGATGCTCCTTGGCCAGTGGCAGCTGGCCATGTCTGCTGCATGCAAAATCCATAGTATCAGTTAGGATTTGGATGATTAAACCAAGGCTTGTTTATCCATCAAAATGAATGGTATATGCATATACATTATAAACTTCTTATAGATGTTCTGGTTATGACATCTTTAATATTCTGAAAAGTATTCTGTTGACTTATTGGTTTGATTTATTTGCACCAGAAGATGTCAGGATATGTTGTATGTATCTCCTGGTTATGTTAGATCAACATTGCCTAAACACAATCTATCCACCAGGAATCCACCAATATTTATGAAGTGCTAGAATAAACACCAACGCTCAAAGCAACTATCTGCAACTATTTATACAGGCATGCAAAATCTGAAATTGATGGCATTTTTCCTTGAACAGTGAAATCCCTTGGGTGTTCATGAAATATGGCATTGTCAATGAAATCCACTTGAAAGAAACCCATGTAACCACAAGTTGGACCTACTTTTGGGAATGCCTCCAGCTCTGTCCACTGTACATGGTGTTGTTTAAAGTTCCACATGTCACATATACACTATATATACAAAAGTATGTGGACACCCATTCATATTAGGAGATTTGGCTATTTCAACAACACCCATTGCTGACAGGTATATAACATTGAGCACACAGCCATGCAATCTTCATAGACAAATATTGGCAGCAGAATGGCCTTACTGAAGAGCTCAGTGACTTTCAACGTGGCACCGTCATAGGATGCCACCTTTCCAACAAGTCAGTTTCTGCCCTGCTAGAGCGGCCTGGTCAACTGTAAGTGCTGTTATTGTGAAGTGGAAACGTCTAGGAGCAACAACGGCTCAGCGGCGAAGTGGCAGGCCACACAAGCTCACAGAACGGGACCGCCAAATGCTGAAGCGCGTAGCACGTAAAGATAATCTGTCCTTGGTTGCAACACTCACTACCGAGTTCCAAACTGCCTCTGGAAACAACGTCAGCACAAGAACTGTTCGTCGGGAGCTTAATGAAATGGGTTTCCATGGCCGAACAGCCGCACACAAGCCTAAGATCACCATGCGCAATGTCAAGCGTCGGCTGGAGTGGTGTAAAGCTTGCCGCCATTGGACTCTGGAGCAGTGGAAACACGTTCTCTGGAGTGATGAGTCACACTTCACCATCTGGCAGTCCGACGGACGAATCTGGGTTTGGCGGATGCCAGGAGAACACTACCTGCCCCAATGCATAGTGCCAACTGTAAAGTGTGGTGGAGGAGGAATAATGGTCTGGGGCTGTTTTTCATGGTTTTGGGCTAGGCTCTTAGTTCCAGTGAAGGGAAATCTTAACGCTACAGCATACAATGACATTCTAGATGATTCTGTGCTTCCAACTTTGTGGCAACAGTTTGGGGAAGGCCCTTTCCTGTTTCTGCATGACAATGCCCCCGTGCACAAAGCGAGGTTTATACAAAAATGGTTTGTCAAGATCGGTATGGAAGAACTTGACTGGCCTGCACAGAGCCCTGACCTCAACCCAATTGAACACCTTTGGAATGAATTGGAACGCCGACTGCGAGCCAGGCCTACTCGCCCAACATCAGTGCCCAACCTCACTAATGTTCTTGTGGCTGAATGGAAGCAAGTCCCTGCAGCAATGTTCCAACATCTAGTGGAAAGCCTTCCCAGAAGAGGGGAGGCTGTTATAGCAGCAATTGGGGGACCAACTCCATATTAATGCCCATGATATTAATGCCCACATACTTTTGGTAATGTAGTGTATCAAGTGGAACCCACTATGAATGGACCACCCAGTATGAGAATAGGCAAAGCATTTAAATGCAGACCAGACCAAGGCCAGCACTAGTTCTTGAGAACCCCCAACCCAACCCGCAACCTGAAAGCTCCAACACTGAATGAGATGTGTTTTGCCCAATTTGACTGCATTAATGATGTGTTCATACAAATCCAAAAGAAATAAAGGAATAAGACTAAGGACTTTCGTAAGCATTTCCACGACTAGGGTCCTCCCTAGTCCTCCAAGCAGTGTTATTTTCTATACATGTTTACATTTTCTCTAAAGCATTCTATATGGCAGAGATTAAGTTTTGAGTTGTTTTCTGAAGCCTCTGTGAGAGTTGAGTCAACATATTTTTTCACTTTGTGTAGTCTTGTATCATGTTTCCCAGAGGGCCTGAGTCTGGGTATGTCATCACAACCTGGTCAGGAGGAGTCTGATCTCAGGTCAGGTCTGGAATCCAAATCTACGTGACAAACTTTAGGAGGGTCGCTGTCTGTCTGTCCGCCTGTCTGTGCTCTGCTCGCACACAAATCTAACTAACAGGCATTAGCGGGGTCAATGTTCGTTTGTCATGCAGCAACAGACATACAGTATGTAGAAACAGTGTACTCTGTCTCTGAGAATCTACACATTTACATAAATAAATCTACATAACTGACAGACATTGTCTGCCTGTCCCCATTTTGTCTCTAAATCCCCTCTAAATTTGGACATACCCAATGCTACAGTCTAGTTGTATACTGCATGATATATTACACTGTAGAGACTTTTCTTGAATGCAGTAGGCTGTAAGCTTGATTTTAGACATCCCGTTACATCGTGTAACGAGCTGCAGCTTTATATCAGGGTTGTTCCCCCTCATAAAGAACCAAAGTCGAGCCATAACCCCTATATGCCTCATATAGGTGGATCATCCAAAACTCATCATTTGTTTGACTTTCGGGAAACCATTTATAATCATGGGGTATCAAATGGTGAAAATATTTCCCACACTCTCCAGTGTTTATATTTGTGTAGGAGACTCGACGCAGGGAAAACTGAGGAGATTAGATTTATACACTGTCATATTTCCCCCTCCTCACTCTTATCACGCAATTGTGTCAGTGTCCCAGTCAGAGGTATCATATTAAGGGAAGATCTCAATTGCATACTCCTCGCGTCATCTCTCCTTGTCTCCTTCTCAAAACCCACTGGATGAGAAAGCCAGAGGTCCCTCCCCTCTGACCTTCTCCTCCATTGGATTTTGAGAAAGAGGTGAGGAGAGAGGATGCAAGAAGTATGCAATTGAGATTCTCCCTGTTTCTAGCTGATAATGATTCCAGGCTCCCACACCGGGACGGTGACGGTGAAATCATTCTTAGCGACTTCCTTGAAGGGGCTTTCAATGATTACAATCACTCTGTGCAAACCCGATGATAGCATCGGAGGAGAGCACTCTGTGTCCCAGTGTGATGGGTCGCTCTCAGGAATCAGATCCAGCTCCAGGGCCAAAAAGGAGGTGGGGGAATCCTCCTCTCTCACGCCACGGTGATGGGATCCAGCTTGCAGCTTCTCACGGCTTCAACCGGAGACATCGTACTCCCTCCTTCCCTCGGCACGGCGGCAATCAGCGCACATCTGCAGTCTGGAGGGGCCTCAGTGTTTACATAGGGCCAACCATACAACGCCGACCACAGCACCAAACTCCCTAACCGCCGCCTTTGAACAGAGCAAGTTTATCTGATGAAGAGGCCCTGTGACCATTGTACAAGTGCATGCAAGATAAACTTGACACTTCATTTTCACACAAACATCCCAAAACAAGATAATGAGATCCATGGTAACCCTATAGTTTGTGTTATCCGTTGATGATAGAAGACTGCATGGCACCATCTGTGCCGAAAGCTTTAATAAAAGCCAGTTGATAGGTACCACATTTTATGCCTTTCTCTCATGGCTGGAGCTTTGGGCTTTGAACAATATCAAATGGACTGCACCATTTTCAAAGTGTAAATATGGTAAGACAAAGTGTTCTACAGTAACACATGTTTCTTGACAATGAGATTATGGGGAACATAAGAAAAATGGCAAATGACTTGCGCATGGGATTTATTTGAATATTTCTCAGGCTGCAAAATGTCTCTGACATGACATATCTCTATGGTAGCATGAACTATGTTCGTGATTGTTCTCTCTCTCTCTCTCTCTCTCTCTCTCTCTCTCTCTCTCTCTCTCTCTCTCTCTCTCTCTCTCTCTCAGACTCAGACCGCAGCACACGGACATTGAGCACCCCCAGCCCTGGCCTCATCCTGCCCCCAAAGTCCCCCTCCCTCTCCTCCCCAGCCCTATCCATCAATGGCCATGAGTCCACCTCCCCCTCTGGCTCTGCAGAGACCGTAGCCATGGTGCACCCCCAGCCAGGCACCCAGACCCGTTCCCGCCAATCTAAAGGTCACCACTACGCCCCCATCGACCTCCTCCCTGATCATGTCCTTCTGCAGATCCTCTCTCACCTGCCCACCAATCAGCTGTGCTGCTGTGCACGGGTGTGCCGGCGCTGGTACAACATGGCGTGGGACCCGCGCCTGTGGAGCACCGTGCGTCTGACAGGCGAGCTGCTCCATGCCGACCGTGCCCTGAGGGTGCTGACCCACCGGCTGTGTCAGGACACCCCCAACGTGTGTCTGACCCTGGAGACAGTGGTGGCCAGCGGCTGCCGGAGGCTCACTGACCGGGGGCTGCATGTGGTGGCTCAGTGCTGCCCGGAGCTGCGCCGACTAGAGGTGGCCGGCTGCTACAACATCTCCAACGAGGCCGTGTTCGAGGTGGTTTCCCGTTGCCCCAACCTGGAGCACCTCAACGTCTCAGGTAACAATGGGAGGTTGGGGACCCGTTCAGTTCAGAAGTGGTTGGAGACTGAATGAGTGATGAATCATCTTTTATGCAAATGCTTCACACATGTTCCTATTGTTTTTCACATCGTATACCAGAGGAATGCCCAGTTTCCTGCGGTTATTATAGGGGTCGTTATTGATTTACAGTGGCATTTGTGTCCCTTGCCTTTGCAACCATGAAAAATACTTTAACATGTTTAACATGTTTTTGTTTTTATTGAACTGTTTATGAATGATAATACATAATCCAAGTCCTTTATACTGCAAAACTTTGCTTGTCCCAGAAGTGATGTTTTGAGTTGTAGTGACATGTTTTGGGGATTTTGAGATATCTATTTATTATTTTGAATGGTAGAATGTGAACAAAAGTATTTAATATATTGTATAGATCAATAAAAACAAAGAAGGCTATTAAGATTTTTTAAAATATACTAGTATAATTTGTGTCCCTCAGTTTTATGTCATTGTTGTTATCGCCATGAAAATCACTCATTACAAAGTTATACAAGGACCTTGAGCATTCTTTCCAGTGGCAAACTGTTATCGGGGGAGGGGTCTAAAGACAATTGCTAGCTAATCACTAATTTAGTATCTCATAAATTTGAGGATTCCGTTGATAATTTGGTGTCTAAATCCAAAATGTCACTTGGTGTTACTCAATTTAAATGAAGGGAAATAACATTGTGAGCAAAATTGTTAACCATATCACTTTAGTAAATACTTTTTAAAGGATTGATGACCTTAGATTTGAGCCATTTCAGAAAATCCTATTTTATCTAAAATGTCTCATTAGTGTTACCATGATTGGTGTTACTACTCCTACTGGTGGCACAACGTTATCATAATGCAGTGCTTCTCAATTATTTTCTGTTACGCCCCCCCTAGGAAGAAGTAAACATTTCGCGCCCCCCAACTTTCCGCCGCGACTGTAAATAGTATAATTTGTCTATAAAATTGTTATAAGTACACCTCTGCATAACATTGTATCCTTATTAACATTAAAGAAAACAAAAAAAGAATAAAGAAAGAAATATAGATCAACTTACAACAAAGAATAACTTTATTAACATTGTTTTTTAGTCTGTAACAGAAAATACTTAATGAGGAAGTCAGGATTAATGGCTACAATGAGCACGTTTTGCAGTGCACAGCTTTTCGAAACGGGGTTTGAAGCATGATACTGCAACTCTCAGCTCCTGCTCAATGTTTAGCTGGGACCTGTACTTGGTCTTCAGTGCAGCAACAGCAGAGAAGCCAGTCTCACAAAGATAAGATGTTTCAAAAGGAAGAAGAATGCCCATGGCCCTCTGCCCTAAGAGTGGATACTGCCTCTCTACACTCAGCCAGAATTCACTCATTCTGTGATGTGTGAACCTCAGTCTCAATGTGGAGTCAGACGTCATATCAATAAACTGGTCCTCCTCTGCAGAGCTGAAACCAATTGGAGCTGGTGCATTGAAAGGATCTCTCACCCAGTCATATTGGGAACTGTTTTCAGGGAAGTACTTTTTAAAGAATCCCATCAGTGATGAAATATGCTCTTTAATATATGGAATCACTGAGGTAGCATCATAGTCAGTAGTGTCAACAAATTCATGCAGGTTCTCGAATCAATCAGTATTTCCTTCATCAAGTCGCCTGCCCCACATTGCAAGCTTTCGAGTGAAAGAGCTGATCTTGTCTGTGACCTGAGGGAGGTGTTTATCTTTCCCTTGAAGCTGTAGATTTAGTTCATTTAGCTTTCCAAATATGTCACTCAGGTAGGCCAGTTTTGCCAGGAAGTTCTCATCACTAAATTTTTCTGCGAGGTCATACTTGTGCTCCTGCTCCGAAAACATTCTTATCTGCTCTCTGAGCTCAAAAACTCGGGACAAGACTTTTCCTCGTGACAGCCACGTTGCTTCACTGTGAAACAGCACAGCTTGATGTTCAGCTCCCATCTCCTCACAGATAGCAGAGAAGACTCTTGTTTTTAGTGGTCTGGTCTTTATAAAATTGACTACACCTACAATGTCAGTCATAACCTCACTTAATTCAGAGGAAAGGTGCCTTGATGCCAGTGCTTCTCTGTGTATAACACAGTGTGTCCACTCAGCATTAGGTGAGGCCTTCTTGATGTGTGCCCAAAGTCCTTTTCTCATCCCTGCCATGGTCTGTGCACCATCACTGCAAACACCAATGCAGTTCTCCCACTTTAGCCCATTCTCAGTCAGGAAGCAGTCCAGCATTTTGAATAGCTCTTCAGCTGTGGCTCTGTCTCTGACATATTTACAAAAAAGTAGATCCTCACACAGGGAGTTTGTCATGTCAAAACGTACATAAGCGATAAACAAACAGTCTTTGTTGCTGTCAGTTGCTTCATCGAACTGTAAGGCAAAACTTTTGTCTTTGAGTTTATCTACCAGCTGTTCTTTAAGATCGTTAGCAATGTCATTTATACACGTCTAGCGACAGTGTCATTGGACAGAGGGATAGTTTTTATTTTTGCAGCACTTGCGTCATCCAGCATGACAGAGACCATGTCTAATGCTGCAGGCAGTATCAGCTCCTCTGCTATGGAGTTTTTTTGTTTGTTGCACTGAGCAATTTGGTACGCCACCTTATATGATGCTAACAGTGCTCGCTGGTTTACTGAAGTAGCATTCACAAAGCGGGACGATTGTTGGCAATATTCGGCACGTTTTCGCTGAAAAAACTCAAGTGGCTTATCAGCGTGATTGGGGTGTAATGTCTTTAAGTGACGCCTTAATTCATTTGGCTTCATGCTGTCCGCTGCCAACATTTTTAGACACAGTAAACATACCGGTCTTTCCTCTTCTCCCACCGTAGTCACAGTGAAGCCAAGCGGTACATACGCTTCGTCATATTTCCTCGTCTTAGCTTTCGGGAGACTTACGTTTGTCTCATTATCTCCGTCTCTCTCCGCATTTCTTTTCATCCCTGTTAAATATGTTTCCATGGTGTCTCTTAAGGGTTTGTTATCTGCACTTCATATCTCCTGCTCTGTGCTTTGTGCTCTTGTTCGGTGCAAAAAAAAAACTACTCCCTGCGGCAAAAAAAAGCATGTTTCCCGGGGTCACGTCAGGGGGGCGCGTCCCACTATTTGAGAAGGACTGTCATAATGCAATTTTTGTTATTTAAAGTAATTGTCGGCCTGCAATGGAATTTAATGAATGCCCATCCATGTGGTAGGCATATCGTTTGTAAAACAGGCAGTTGCATTTGCTTTATTAGTCCTGATTCCTGTGACTATTCAATTTGACTGATTAAGCTCTGCATCAGCTACCAAACTTTATCAGGAGTTATCCTGAGCCTATTTGCAATGAGATTCCATGTGTTTACACAGCGGAAATGCAGAAGTATTTTGTTTTTCGCTATGATGCAGCTCGTCAAAAATGTACAAATACCACTTATTATCATGACAATTTAGCCCACGGGGTGAAACTTCCGGACAGCAGTTCTGAGTAGCTTGATTTTCCATTCCATATTGTACATTTTACTTTTACCTGTCCTGTTTTAGGATATATTGTTTGTTAACATGTCATATTCACATCGAATAACATTTTTTATTAGATTGGGCACTAGGTTAGGCTATTTCAGTGGTCACCAACCGGTCGATTGCGATCGTGATTTTGATCACCAAACATTTCTGTAGAAAAGCCAACAATAAATGCTTGTGCGCCTTTTTATTTATTTATTAGTGCAGCGCTGTTGGCGGTAGGTGCTCTTGACTCAGAAGCCCTGCCCACCGGGTAGGCAAAGTGTTCCCATTTTGAACCATTTAATTGGTCTGAAAATACAAACTCCACCTACCGGGCAGACCAGGAGATCTGTGGCTAAATTGAATGCGCCTACTGCTTTGTCAATTCGGATAGCTCACATCACCATGCCTTGAGCTTCTACGACCCCGGCCACAGCAAAGTTTGATACTAGCCTATGTAAGATTTAATAACTTTTTAAACCATGACCAGAGAGAGACTGTCAAAGAATACAGCAAATAACTGCTGTTTTGAGTGAGTTCATGTCTAAGTTTTAATTCAGCACTGTCAACACTGTTTTTATTCAACACTATTACAAAACATAAAACGCGCTTCTCCCTACTTCCACTAGCGCTGCAACTGCAATGAATGAGTAGCTAAGTGTAGGCTATCGATAGCCCTGTGTTTTTATTATTATTAGCATTTCGTCGTCTCTATTTTAATATCAAGGAATATTTCACTTTCTCTGGTCATAGGAACAACATGAATTTGTACATGAGGCTGATGCGGTGCAACTCGAGTTTCGCCATTAGGTGGAAGACGGTGTCCCCTCTCTCTGGTCAGTCTCACCAGAGGAAAGGAAGGAGAGAGCAGAGACCGTGAGAGGCGGACCCTCTGCTTCTCTCTCCTTCCCTCCGCTGAGACTAATGCCGTGTTCGAAACAACTCGGAACTCTCTGACTTCCGAATTCAGTGCATTCAAGACAACTGGGAACTCGGAAAAAACGAGATCTGACTGGGAAAAATGTTTTTAACGGTCATCCAACTTGGAATTCCAAGTCAGAAACTCAGGCATCTTTCTAGAGCTCCGACTTTCCGACCTGAAGATCACTGACGTCATGATTTGACCTCAAATTTTTATTTTCCCAATTGTCTTGAAAGAACCATGACCATCAGATGCAGGTAGCATCAGTCCAGTAAAATAAAAAAGCAAATTATTTCAATTTATGCTGAGCTGTGCCTCGCAAGTGCTACACCAACTGATCTATTTTGTTATAAAAGCTTGAGTTTTGAAATATAACATGGTCTGAGAATAACAATATTGGCAGGCCAGGCCTACTGCACAAACCTCATTCCTACAGAACTGTTTTTATTAAGTTAATGTTACATTTTTTTAGTCATGTTTAAAATAATATCTGAGTGGTAGATCTCGGCTTGCTTTGACTGCGAAAGGGATCTTGTCTCAGAAAAGGTTGGTGACCACTGGGCTATTTGATCGAAGAAATGTGCAGGATGTAAAACGTGTCTGTCTCATGACATTGCCATAAATGTAATCTCCAGCCTGTAGGCTACAGAAAATGCCACAACTCTTTATATTGTAGGCTATAGGCTACATGCTTTATGTTGGATCATTTCTTGATGGAAAGTTGGTGTAGCGCCACAGCGGTGTGTCTCACCAACAGCACCCTGGAGAGGCGCACTGGGCATGGACAAGCTAAATATTTTGTGCCCCTACCATTGACAAAGTGGGCACTGCATATCATGGGGCGGCATCAGCGCTCACCTAAATAGCCCATATGCCACTGGGTGAGAAACATTATCATTGTTTTTGAGCAGAATTATGTGAGGTATTATGTGTTGTTGGAGGTGCGTCTTGGTAAGTTTAGCTCGGAAAATGCCGCCCTTGTCAATCTGCAGCCCTAGGCAGCTGCCTAATCTTGCCTAATGTGCAGGCTAGCCCTGCATCACACACATCTGTGAACTTTCCTTAAAGATAAATTCATTTCAGTCCTGCTTTTCTCCCAAAGCTGGGAAAAACATTAAAGGAGTATGGAAGCTCTTCCAGCCATCAGGTCCCTAGTGGGAGAGAAAAGACCTACTTAGCTTTGAAAGCTGGACTCCTTTACCTCAACAGGAGTAAGAAGGTTAGTCTGGTGCTTTCATTAAGGAAGTGGCACAACAACAAAAAACATTGACTTTGACTAGGCTTTGGTGACAAAGAGGAAGTAAAGTCTTTGTTGTAAAAGTAGGCTTGAATGGTTGTGGTTGTAGGAATAATGAAATGAAGATGTATTTATTTTGCTGGAAAATATTGGTCCCCTGACAAATGTATTGTTATTTGCATTCTGAATTTGGTCATATCTTTCAAGAATTACAGTTAGGCAATATAGCAGGTTCTACTTTGGCACCCTCAAGTGGCTTTTTCTCACATAGCTGCAACTTTACTACAATGAATAAGGAAATCACGTATCCTATACTAAGAGAGAATGGTCAGACAACAAAATATGTAAATTGCTTGAAGTTATAGACCAAGACCGGTTATGATTACATGGCTTTTGTTGTCATTCATGAGGTAATCATTGCTATCTTTGTCATAAGCCATACCCCTCCTGTTCCTCCAGGCTGTTCCAAGGTGACCTGCATCAGCCTCACCCAGGAGGCTTCAGTCCAGCTCTCTCCACTGCATGGCCAGCAGATCTCCATCCACTACCTGGACATGACTGACTGTTTTTCCCTGGAGGACCAGGGCCTCCGCACCATTGCCTCCCACTGCCCCCGCCTCACACACCTCTACCTGCGGCGCTGTACACGTCTCACTGACGAAGCCCTGCGCCACCTGGCTCTGCACTGCCCCTCCGTCAGGGAGCTCAGCCTCAGCGACTGCCGCCTGGTGGGGGACTTCGGCCTGCGCGAGGTGGCCCGCCTGGAGGGCTGCCTGCGCTACCTGAGTGTGGCCCACTGCGGCCGCATCACTGACGTGGGGGTGCGCTATGTGGCTCGCTACTGCCCGCGGCTCCGCTACCTGAACGCGCGGGGATGCGAGGGCCTCACGGACCACGGCCTGGGCCACTTGGCCAGGAGCTGCCCCAAGCTCAAGTCCCTGGACGTAGGAAAGTGCCCGTTGGTGTCAGACAGCGGGCTGGAGCAGCTGGCACTGTATTGCCAGGGCCTGAGGAGGCTGAGCCTGAGGGCGTGCGAGAGCGTGACGGGTCGAGGGCTACGGGCCATAGCCGCAAACTGCTGCGAGTTGCAGCTGCTCAACGTACAGGACTGTGAGGTGTCGCCAGAGGCACTGCGATTCGTTAGGCGCCACTGCAGACGCTGCGTCATAGAGCACACGAACCCCGGGTTCTTCTGAGAGAGGGATAACTGGATTCACCTTCTGACAAATGGATATGTTTAAATTCCTGCTCTGGGGTTGACCAAGAAGAGGGCTGAGTTGTCAGGACTAGTTGGAAATGGTGTGCAATATCCACTTGTGTTTTAAAAAAATGTTATTTGCATGGTTAATAATGCTGTTCTTTGCATACACACATGGAATGTATTTAACATATTTATCTGTAAAAAGGGAGGCAAATGTTTAAATGTATTAGAACTTGTTTGGTATTCCTCTCACGTCACGTTTCGGATGTAACATTTGTTATGCAATAACGTTGAGCACTGGGTACAGATTCATTTTGAATGCCTTCTCTTTACCTGTGTCCATCTTTTGTGCTTCATTTCATCAACTTTAAGGAGACAGGTCTTCACCATTACATTGTACACATTTCTTTTTACGCAGGAAGTTATTCCAAACCACTATGAATGTATCACTAGTTAGCTAACCCAATAACCAGCATATCTGGTGACTTCTTTCAACCGTGTTCAAATCCAGTAGGAAGATAGGTGTATCTTTGTCAGTCTTAAGTGCTTATAATGTATTTTTTTGTATTTTGTGTGCATATGTACTTTATCAAATCTAATAGACAATCACTTCAATTGAGCTCAATGGTTTCATGCGTTTTGACTATTTTATCTTGCAAAGTACAGTGTATAGACTCAGTGTATAGACTCAGTGTATAGACTCAGTGCACAACTATGTTTTACTACCAAATGGAAAACAAAAGGATTGGTATTCTTTTGACCAGGAACATGTTGCTGCTACAATTATTCTAATAAATGGCTTTGTAATAAACAATTCTTCAACCATCAGGACATATTTTTCACTTGAAATGAAGTGAAAATAGCCACGAGACGTGACGCTCATGTGGAAATGAGTATGCACGAAGTTCATTTGTAGTAGCACTCGCTATTTAGGGCCATTCAGGTGCTTGAAAAATAAATACGGGTGCTACCATAGGTGGCATGCTACCATATACGATATCATACACTATATACGGTAACTTAACTGACAGAGGGAGAAGCAGAGAGAGTGCGAGAGATTATCAGTTGAGATGTTAACCAAAGGTCATTGTTCTGTGTGTGTCTGCGCATGTGTGACAACACTTCACAACACGCTTCCTGTTTATTCATTCCATTGCTGTACCATGTTACCTCATATGGTAAGGACCCTGTCACCGCAACTTTGGCCACGCCCCTGTGGGGTTGTGTTTCTGTTATAACACACTGACAAAGAAGAGTAGAGTTACATTTGAGTACCTGAGTTAAAGTGTTAAACAGTTGTAATTTTCACTGTCTTGTATTGTAGCTACATGTCTTCTTCTCTGTTCTTCTGTTATGTTTAAGTAGAAATTGGGATTTCAATCACTGACTGACAACCAATGACAATTAACACTGATAGTCTTTTACCACCTGTGTACAAGTAAGCTGAGCTAATTAAGAGCAATCAATGGTTTGTGTATGTGAGTTCGTGCGTGTTTATGATTGATTTGAATGCCTATGTAATGTATGTGAAAATAACAGCCACAATGAACCAAGTTCTGCTGAGTTTATGCCTGGCCGTAGGCCTTTTCAGCACTTTGTTAGCTCAAACAGATACAAATTGCGTTACAGATTTAGTCCTTATTTAACCTACAATCTGAACCTATTCCCCTCCTTATTTACCTATTTGTCAATATGACTTCAAGTCTTACTGACAGACACGTCTGTACTTCTAGAGGCTTCTAGCCCTTTGGTGACCCTAAAGAGTGGCAGTGTTCATGGGCAGTACAGGACATTGAAGGGCACAGAAAAGGTAGTGGAGGAGTACCTGGGGATTCCCTTTGCACGCCCCCCCCCTTGGGCTCGCTGCGTCTGACTGCCCCTTTGCCTGCTGAGCCCTGGGAGGGAGTGAGAGATGGCACCAAACTACCCCTTATGTGAGTCTGTCTACCCTCCACCCCCATCCCATCAGACATGGGAAGTAACCATCGCTGGGATGACGTTGGCATTTCTCTGTTTGTATTACAGATGTCTCCAGGATCGAGGTCCCATGGAGGCTCTCTGGAAATCCTTTCCCATGGAGCATGCCATACCAGACGTGTCAGAAGACTGCCTTTACCTGAATGTGTACACTCCCTTTGAGCCCTCTGCTGGCCAGAAACTACCAGTTCGTGGACTGCAAATGCTCATTGCTCACACACATACACACTACTTCACATCTGCTACACTCACTCACATGTAATCAAATCAAATCACATTTTATTTGTCACATACGCCGAATACAACAGGTGTAGACCTTACCGTGAAATGCTTACTTACAAGCCCTTAACCAACAATGCAGTTAAAAATAGAGTTAAGAAAATATTGACTAAATAAACTAAAGTAAAAGATCAAAAAGTAACACAATAAAATAACAATAACGAGGCTATATACAGGGGGTGCCGGTACCGAGTCAATGTGCGGGGGTACAGGTTAGTCGAGGTAATTTGTACATGTAGGAAGGGGTAAAGTATGTCAGATTTCAGATTTTCTCATGAACAAATTGTATAAAAGTAACATGATAAACAAGGAAAGATGGTGGTCGGGTTCATCAAGCTCTGGTACTCAGGTTATGGTTTGGATCCATGGGGAGGCTTAGCTGTGGGTGGAACCTTCCAATATGACAGATCGGCCCTGGCGTCCTATCAGAATGTGGTTGTGGTTGTCATTCAGTATCGACTTAGCATCCTGGGTTTCTTAAGGTATGACGTGACAACATTTCACTAGTGTTACTCTACATTTCCACCAACTAGCATTACGTGCTTTATACTCTAACTGAACTAGAGTATGTTTTACAATGGTGCCTTGAATGTTCATTTGATGTGCCAGGTGTGCCAAAACAATTGCAACCTTAGAAATAACAACACCAGATGTATTGTTTGTTTGTTTCAAGTACAGGAGACAAACATGCATGTGGTAACTGAGGCTTCCTGGCCTTCAGTGGGTTCGTGATAATATCAAGGATTTTGGGGGAGACCCAGGCTCAGTCACCATCTTTGGACAATCTGCCGGGGGCATTAGTGCCTCCATGCTGGTAGGTATGAGAAAGACAATGTAACACAGCAGTGAGATGGTCAGGTGCAGAAGAAGAGGTGTGGTTGAATTTATACCTTACAGTGTAAACCATAAAAACCAAACATAGTAGCACTGTTTGACCCAATGGCTCTTTCTATCACATGACAGGTGTTGTCTTCATTAGCTGAAGGCCTGTTTCACAGAGCCATCCCTATGAGTGGTGGCACCACTGGAGGCCCATTACACAAACAACCCACTGGCCAATGCCAAGGTTCCCATGAATACCTATACAACACAGCATCCAGGTCCAGAACCACCCTGCCCCCATTAATGCTGGTAAAAACAAACCATTGGTTACAATATGAAAAACATGTTGGCCCTGATTATGATCTAAAATAGTAACCAGTCTTTCTCTGAGAGGGTTTATTAATGGCAGGTGAATTCCTCTCCCATTCCAGATGATAGCCAATCTGTCAGAGTGTGATGACAGCACTACTGAGAGGATTGTGCAGTGCATCAGAGGGAAACCTGAAGAGGACATACTCAACGCCATCAAAAAGGCATAAGGTCATTCAGTTGTTTGATGAGGCTTATGTTTGGCATGTTGGTCTATTATCATATACACTGAAGCTAACAAAAATATCTGTATTTTATGTTCAGGCATTCTTGGGCCCTGCCATTGATGGTGTGTTCCTGAAAGGGCCTCCTGAGGAGGTTTTGAAGAACAAGGAGTTCCTGAGGGTTCCTATGCTTGTAGGGGTGGTCAACCATGAATTTGTATGGATTATGGCTCAGGCAAGCTCATTGGCTTTTATATCTTGTTGTGAGGTTTTCTTTAAGACAACCTTCTTGTGATCATCAGATCAAGTATTTACAGTACCTGAGTCACATCTACAATATCTTCACCTCGGTTGCAGTCTAACTGTTGTTTCTGATGCCATAGTTTTTTGCACCTCCTGGTTGGGTTGAGGGCATGGAGAGGCAGTCTGTGGTATCCGTGATGGACATGTTCTTCCCAGCTTATGTAAGTTCTCCCTATTCATCCACTTCTACACTTCTCTTGCTTAACTCTTTACACTCACGATAATTGGCCTATATGGATAGGGCTAAATTGAAATATTTCGTACAGAATAAATATTAAATGCATTAGCATGCTAGCAATTGAAAGGGAACAGTTTGGAGATTATGGGAAAATTATTAGACCAAAGATGAGGATACAACAGTTCACCTGACACAAGACTGAATCCAAACATTACACTGTTGATTTTACGTGCATTTTACATTTTACATTGTTTGATAACGAAATGAAAATACTCTGGATACATTCAGTAACATGATAAGAGTATTCCTGGAAAAGTGGGGTAGGTGCAACATAAGACAAGGGTTTGAGTGAGGACTAACTGGTGTCTCCAAGTGGCCACACACCTCTCCAAAGTGTGCACAGTTCCTAAGTAATTTCAATGCACTTTTATGACTCAAAGAAGAGTCTTCAACTATGACGTGCTTTTCTGAGCTCTCCTAGCTGTGCCGTTGAGGAACTAGAGCAAGTACACTTGTAGTTGTTTTGTTTGGAACACAACCCTGCATTCCCACCATCAGACAATACTGTTGTTTATGGATTCCAAAAACAGACCATTATAAATCGCAATCTGGGTCAGGTGGGCATAATTTGAAGGCTTGTTCTATTGCCAACATGACTAGCTAAGTTTTAAAAGAAGATCTTACAGTGTTAGGCTTTTACAAGGCAATGCAGAGAAACAGATCATCATTTTGGTGCGCATAGAAAGTAGTTCCGTGGCAAATTCGTTCTTCACAATAGACAAATGTCCCATTCTGTTCAGAACAACCCAGGGTATGACGCCATGTCATCTTGTAACTGTGCATCAAACATAGTGATCATAAATGTTGACACTGTATATGACATGAGTTTTATGATATGGAAATGTGAAGAGCACATTTGGACATTTGGTGTTTGGCTTGCTTGTATGACATCAAAGCGGTATTTATTATAATCCTCAATGTCATCTTTCAAAATACATGGAGTCCTCTTAATTTACAGCATTTCCCTCACTCAGTCAAAACAAAAAAACGCAAAAGTACCCCAATTAGAGGGAGGGATGGGGGCAACTTCTTGTCATGTGCAGTGCTCAAGTTCAGAACAGCTGTCAGTCAAAACCCATACAGTGCTGTGTAGCGCAGAGCCTGATGTTTATAGCATGCTACTGTACAGCCACTGCGTTCCAATTTAGGTGCTTATCAGTGCCCAAATCTGCCATTTTCAACCCGTCTACGGGTACAAGTATAAATGGCTACACAAATAGTTCAATCCACTGGTTGTTAGATTGCAATAGGTGGACAAAAAGTCAAAATATTAAAGCTAGAATCCATCATTGCTACATACATTTTTGGAATTATAAATGAATTATATACTGTATACCCATTGATTCTTGAAGAATGTAGCTGTTAGGCTATGGTTCAACCCAGCACTCAGAGAAACAAACACGACTAAGGGAGTGGAAGAAACAAAAATTCTTTTAATAAAAGTTCAATTTGTCTTAGTCCAAAAACAACTGAAGAAAAGGAACAGAGTGGGCTAGTCGGCTCCGGAGGAAGGAGAGGCTGAGGCAGGCAGGCAGGCATGTCTGAACTGAAGACAAAACAAACGACAGGTTAAGGAGAGTAAAGAGCCAGGCTGAAGACAAAGACAATTTAACTCTACTGGTGAGCCAAGTTACCGCTCTGGTAAGAACAACGATCTGGCGCCGGTGGAGAGCCATGCCCAGGATTTAGTAGTGCAGGTTGATGAGAGAATAGGATGCAGCTGCGTAGGCAGGAATCACTGGAAACAACCCGCAGCTGCACAGGAGAGGCAGATCCTGAGCACGCCCCCCGATCCACTCCAGACACACCCACATAATGGGGACAAACACACATACAGATACAACAGACAAAGAGGGGACAAAACAAGGAGGAAGGGAAACAGAAAAGGGAGAGACAAGCTGCCCACATAACAGTACCCCCCCCTCAATGGTCGACACCTGGCGACCCACCAGGCCTGTCAGGGTTGTCGTGATGGAAGTCCGTGATCGGCTGAAGATCCAACACAAAACGCTTAGGGACCCAAGACCTCTCCTCTGGTCCATAACCTTCCCAATCGACTAGGTATTGGAGACCCCTACCCCGCCTCCGAGAGTCCAGGAGCCTACTGACGGTGTAGGCCGGATGGTCGTCAATGAGGCGAACAGGTGGAGGTGGATCTGCCGGCGGACACAAAAGGCTGGAGGACACAGGTTTCAGTTGGGAGACGTGGAAAGTAGGGTGCATCTTCATGGCTGAAGGCAACTTCAAACGAACCGCAGCGGGGTTAACGATGGACTCCACCACAAACGGACCCAGGTACCGAGGAGACAGCTTGCGTGATTTGGTACGAAGAGGTACGTTCTTAGATGACAGCCAAACTTCTTGACCAGGATGAAACACAGGTGCGGGAGTCCTGCTCCTATCCGCTGTCGTCTTGTTCCTGTCGGTGGTCCGAAGCAACGCTTCCCGAGCGTCGCTCCACACTCTCTGGCAGCGGCGGAGGTTCTCCTGAACCGAAGGAACAGCCAATTCCTTCTCCTGAGCAGGAAACAGAGGGGGTTGATAACCCATGGTTACTTCGAAGGGTGAAAGGCCGGTGGCAGAGGTGGTGAGGGAGTTGTGGGCGTACTCTATCCAAGGCAGATGTTTGGCCCAGGATGATGGATGTTGAGCAGCCACACAACGAAGGGTTGCTTCGAGGTTTTGATTGGCTCTTTCTGTTTGACCGTTGGTCTGGAGATGAAACCCTGAGGACAGACTAACGGAAGCACCCAAAGCAGAACAGAACACCTTCCAAACACGGGAAGTAAACTGTGGGCCTCTATCAGATACGATGTCCACAGGTATTCCATGGGGACGGAATACATGTTGGACTAGGAGGTCCGCTGTCTCACTGGCAGACGGTAATTTTGGTAATGCTGAAGGAACTATAGTGAACATATTTAGAGAATCTGTCCACAATGGTAAGTATAGTATCATTACCTTCAGACTTGGGTAGGCCGGTGACAAAATCCATGACTATGTGGGACCAGGGACGGCTGGGAACTGGGAGGGGTAGCAGCAGCCCCGAAGGGGACTGATGGGAGGCTTTGCCCCGAGCACAGGTTGAACAGGCTGCCAAAAAAGCCAGAACGTCAGTTTCCATTGAAGGCCACCAAAAATGTCTCTTAAGCAGCGTCAACGTGCGTCTCATCCCAGGGTGACCAGCAAAACGGGAGGTGTGAATCCACTGCAACACCTGAGACCGGACCGTCTCGGGAACAAAGAGTAGGTTGGGAGGTCCATCACCCGGTCCCGGGTCCGTGGCAAGTGCAGTCTTCACAAGAGACTCGATCTCCCACTGTACTGCCGCCACGACGCATGAGGAAGGTAGGACTGCCTCAGGCTCGCTGGTCTCCGAAGGGTCAGCAAACTGGCGGGACAAAGCATCTGGTTTAACATTTCTTGACCCCGGTCTGTATGTTAGAATAAAGTTAAACCTACTAAAAAACAGGGCCCATCTGGCTTGGCGTGAGTGGAGTCTCTTAGTGGCTCGGATGTAAGCCAAGTTTTTGTGGTCTGTCCAGACCACAAATGGCAGTTCAGCTCCATCCAGCCAGTGCCGCCATTCTTCCAGTGCTAGCTTGACCGCCAGCAGTTCCCGGTTTCCAACGTCGTAATTCCGTTCTGTGGGTGACAATTTCTTGGAGAAAAAAGCACAGGGGTGAAGCTTTTGGTCAGTGGGGGAGCGCTGGGAGAGGACTGCTCCCACACCTGAGTCAGACGCGTCCACCTCCACAATAAACTGCAGAGATGTATTGGGGTGTATCAACACGGGGGAGGTGGAAAACAGTTCCTTCAAAACCCCTACCGCCTGCTCCGCCTCAGGGGACCACAGAAAAGGGACTTTTGGGGATGTGAGTCTAGTAAGGGGTGCCACCACTTTACTAAAACCCTTAATAAATCTACGGTAGAAGTTAGCAAAGCCCAAAAATCGTTGAAGTTGCTTACGGGTGGTGGGTGTGGGCCATTCCGTCACTGCCCGGATCTTCTCGGGGTCCGCCTTCACCTGCCCGCTCTCAATGATGAAACCAAGGAACGATGTAGACTGTTTGTGGAACTCACACTTTTCTGCTTTGACGTACAGCTTATTCTCCAAGAGGCGTTGAAGGACTTGACGGACGTGTGACTCATGCTCCTCGGGTGACTTGGAAAAAACAAGAATATCATCCAGGTATACAAGACAAAACGGTTCAAAAAATCCCTAAGAACATCGTTCACCATGGCTTGGAATACAGCAGGGGCGTTTGAGAGCCCAAAGGGCATGACCAAATACTCAAAATGCCCCAGTGGAGTGTTGAAAGCGGTTTTCCACTCATCTCCCTTTCGGATTCTGACAAGGTGATAAGCGTTCCTGAGGTCAAGCTTGGAGAAAACTGTGGCGCCACGCAGAGGTTCAAAAGCTGAGTTGATGAGTGGAAGGGGATACTTGTTTTTAACAGTTATGTTGTTTAAACCCCTGAAATCGATACAGGGGCGTAACGACTTGTCTTTCTTTTCAACTAAAAAGAAACCTGCACCCAAAGGAGACGACGAGGGACGGATTATGCCCGAGGCCAGAGAATCACCAATATACTGCTCCATTGCCTCTCTTTCCGGTCGGGACAGATTGTATAAGCGACTAGAGGGCAAGGGAGCACCAGGAAGCAGTTCAATAGGGCAATCATAAGGCCTATGTGGTGGTAGAGACAGAGCCTTGTCCTTACTGAAAACCTCCGCTAAGTCATGGTATTCTTTGGGGACAGATGACAGATCGAGAGGAGCTGAGGGATGAGTTGGGTTACACTTAGTGGGGGGGAACCGCTGACCTAAGGCACTCTGAATGGCAGTTAGTGCTCCAACTGAGAATGATGTGACGTGTCCAATCAATTTGTGGGTTGTGAAGAGCCAACCAGGGGAAGCCAAGGATTAGGGAGGTAGCTGAGCCAGACATAACTCTTAACTGAATGCTTTCACAATGATTGCCAGAAATCACTAGGGAAATGGGGGTGGTTTGATGAGTTATCTCCGCGAGGAGGCGCCCATCAAGGGCTGTGACCCGAATGGGGGTAGGTAGTGGCTCCATGGGGATACGAGCTTGTGTAACGAACTGGTGGCTAATAAAGTTGTCTTCTGCACCTGAGTCTATGAGAGCTGAGAGTGGCAGGGAATGACTCTGGAAACGTAAGGTTACAGGTACTTGTAATCGGGGAATGATGGGTTCAGGATCTAACTCTGGGCTCGCAAGTAGACCCACCGTTACGAGCAAGCCTTGTCTTTTGGTCGCTTAGGGCATGTAGCCAGAATGTGTGTGGAGTCTCCACAGTACAGGCACTCACCCGCCTGGAGGCGCCGTTGCCGCTCTGCTGGAGGTAGTCGAGCTCGACCCACTTGCATTGGTTCCTCCTCTGTGCTCGGGATGGGATCAGGAACAAGAAGCTGCCGGCTCCGGGGAGGCGAGACTCGAGTGGTTGAAGGCTGGGGAACTCGTCCTCCTAGATGTGGCCGACCGCCTCTCTCCTGCAACCGGTTGTCTAGCTTAATGGACAGGGAAACGAGAGAATGTAAATCATGTGGCTCGTCACGAGCAGCCAGTTCATCCTTAATGGCTTCATTCAAACCGTTTAGAAATGCTCCTTGAAGTGCCACATTGTTCCACTTGGAGTCCGCTGCCAAAGTCCAGAACTCAATAGAGTACTCAGCCACACTGTTAGAACCCTGCCTCAAATTAAAAAAGTATCTTGGAGGAATTACCCACATGGTCAGGATGGTCAAAAACAGTCTTCAATTTAGCAGAAAAATCAGCAAAAGTCAATCCAGTCAAAGTTTGATTTGAGCACACAGCCTCAGCCCAAACCAGAGCTCTCCCTCTTAACAGCCCCAGAACATAATGTACCTTAGAGGAATCAGTAGAAAACGACAGTGGTCTCTGCCGAAAAATCAAGTCACACTGAAGCAAAAATCCCCGGCACTTGTCCAATTCTCCATTGAACGGTTCAGGCAACGTGACAGGGGGTTCCCGATGGAACGAAGCCTGCATAAGGTCCGAGGAAACAACTTGGGGTGCATCAAACTGGGGGTCAGAGAGAGATGGAGAACTGATAACAGACAATTTAGAGACTTGTGTAGTTAACTGAGTCACCTGGTTCAGTAGTTGATGATTATCTTCCAAAAGAGTCCGAATCAATTGGTCATGCTGTCCTAGCAACGTTCCTTGAGCCTGGATAGCTTGTTGGAAGCTGTCTTCGTTTGCCCCGTGCTGTTTCTCTGTTGGGTCCATGGCCAGATCGTTCTGTTAGGCTATGGTTCAACCCAGCACTCAGAGAAACAAACACGACTAAGGGAGTGGAAGAAACAAAAATTATTTTAATAAAAGTTCAATTTGTCTTAGTCCAAAAACAACTGAAGAAAAGGAACAGAGTGGGCTCCGGAGGAAGGAGAGGCTGAGGCAGGCAGGCAGGCAGGCAGGTATGTCTGAACTGAAGACAAAACAAACGACAGGTTTAGGAGAGTAAAGAGCCAGGCTGACGACAAAGACAATTTAACTCTACTGGTGAGCCAAGTTACCACTCTGGTAAGAACAACGATCTGGCGCCGGTGGAGAGCCATGCCCAGGATTTAGTAGTGCAGGTTGATGAGAGAATAGGATGCAGCTGCGTAGGCAGGAATCACTGGAAACAACCCGCAGCTGCACAGGAGAGGCAGATCCTGAGCACGCCCCCCGATCCACTCCAGACACACCCACATAATGGGGACAAACACACATACAGATACAACAGACAAAGAGGGGACAAAACAAGGAGGAAGGGAAACAGAAAAGGGAGAGACAAGCTGCCCACATAACAGTAGCTTATAAATTCCTATTGAGTTTAGTTTAACTGTTGTACCCCATCAGAACCCAAAATATAAGCTTGTTTTACTACAATGTTTGTAAACAATGTAAATGTAAACAAACACTGTATAGCCTCAAAACATGGTAAAAACTATAAATGTTTATATCATAGAGGGCCAGTCCTTGCATCCATAGCTCTGTCTATGAATTTGAGAGTGTTTACCAATATCCAGGCCCATGCCTCAGCTTTTTACCAAAACAGAGGTGGGGTTATGCTTTGTTATTATTTCAATTAAGGATTATAGCTTTAAAGAATGAAATCATGACATCTCCAAAACTCTATTTAACTGTCACACCGGAATCATTTACGCATTTCAGGACTCTGGTGGGAATGAGCTGATTGTAGAAGAATACCTCCAGCATGCGAAAAACCCAGAGGACATACGGGATGCATTCACTGAAATTCTGGGTGACATGGTCCTCGTCCTACCTACCCTGAAAGTAATGCGGTACCACAGAGGTTAGCGTCAACATCTAGACATGATCTGAATCTTACTAAATTAGATCTACTGAGACATCTAATTGATTTATCATAATAACAAGTACATCCTCACACACATAGACACACACGCACGCACACGCACACACACACACAGATGCAGGTGTTCCTGTGTATCTGTATGAGTTTCAGCATTTATCACAAATGCGCCGTGAGACGAGACCCAGCTTTGTCAAGGCTGACCACTATGATGACGCAATGCTTGCCCTCGGAGCCTGCTTTTGGAATGGACACAGGTCACAGGTAGAAAGCAAGCAGTGCAGCCTCAGTCTCACCATACAACTTACAACATCCCTGTGTCATCACTGTGTCAACTCTCCATCCATTCTGAGATTACATACATACTGTGTGTGTCTCCTGCAGGACCGATCAGTGAAGAGGACGAAGAGTTTAGCAGGATAGCGATGGCGTACATGGCCAACTTCGCACGCATTGGGTGAGTGTAATCTTTCATTTCCTTTCATGGCTTTATTGTCCATTTGTCATGGTTCCACCTGTCACCAGAGGGCGGCAGAGACCGTCCTAGAGACAATAATGACACTCAGGTGTGTTCTATCATTAATTATGATTTCTCTTTTAAGAGAGGTGTGTTTTCTGTTTCCCTTTGCAGAAGCTTGATTTGTTTGCCATGTGCGTTTGTCTCCTGAGTGAGTTTTCTAGCCCTAGTGTTTGTTGTTTTCCCAGTGTTACTGTGATCCTTCTGTTACCAATTCTCAGTAAAGTATTTACGTTTATCCTAAACCACTGATTCCTCGTCTGGTCTCTTCTCTGCTCCTGGGTCCAACTTCATCATGTCACACCTGTCCCTAAGAGTATCATGAGATATGTTTTAAATGTTGTCTCTTTCTCTTAGGTCTCCCAATGGGCCGGGGTTGGTGGAGTGGACTCCCTTTGACCACACTGAGAGTTACCTGAACCTGGGCTTGGAGCAGACAGTGGGCCAGAGACTGAAGCAGAACAGGTCCCACTTCTTGAACATAGTCCTGCCCCAGAAACTCTCAACCCACCAGACAGCCAATGAGGAGCTCTAAATCTCTGTGCTTTACCATATATGGACGCTTCAATGAAAACATTATCAACAATCATTTGGTAACACTTTGGTATCACAAATTGAATACATTCTGTTGTATATACGTGCTTTTTAAATACTGTGGCTGTAAAAATACACATGTATGTTGTACAATGGATGAAAAAAGATCTAAAAGATTACTCCTTGTAAATGATGTTGAATAAATGTGTTATGATGGTTGTTATGAATGATCCTTCAACACTCATTTGTGTTGCATTTTAAGGCCCCCTGGTGTTGACACTGAAGAGTTAACTTCCTTTAATAGAAGTCTTGTCCAGCATTTGTTCATTTACAAACACACAAAGATGTAGGTAAGACAGGATAACTCCACACAGGCAGAAAGCACCATTAAAACCAGTGGAGCGAGAAAGACTTTCCAAACACCCACTTCTGGTGCATTTTAGGAAAGCAGGTTAATACATAAAGCAAACAGGCTATAAATATCATGAAAACAAATGTGCTTCTCCTTGCACCTTTTGATAGTTCACATTTCTGGTGTACAAATTCAAGTTAATTCAGATTATTCTAATAACTTCTTATGAGTTGATAAAGACTTTTCAGATTGCCAGCTACATAACTAACCAATAAAACCCAATATAAAGAAATCCTCAACATTGCAGGTCCACTTTAGTATATATTAGCTATATTAGCTATAACATGGTGAAATATAACCCCCCCAATTCCATTTACAAAAGGTATAGCATTGAAAAAGTTTGATATGACTGACAAATCTAATTCACATTATTATTTATGTCATTTAAATAGGCTGTCCATTTGTAGGGTAATACAAACCCTAGTTAACTTTTCAACCTCATATTCCTTATCTCCAGTACCATACCAGAGTCTACATACTGAAAATGTGAAAATTGTGAAAATGGTGCGTTTCTATGACATGGTTAAAAACATAAGAAGAAAGGTCCTAAAAAATGCTTGACTGTCACATCAAAGGGTAGGATTAAAAGTACACTAAAATAAATAATGGTTCTTCCTCAGCTCTTAAGGTTCCTTGGAGAACTCGTGCCCGATAAAGAACCTTTGAGTTTAGTATGGGATACTTGACGTGGCATCTACGGTTCTTCAGAATTCAAAAAGGTTCTTGAAATGTATTTAAGCCTGCAGATGTGTCCCTTACAAAGCACACAGCAAATTGGCCAGTGTTAACTAGTGTTGATTTTTCAGTGAAACATTTCTAGTGTTGATTCAAGAGGTACATTAACACTGTAAAGTGTTAAAATAACATTAAAAAAAGAACCCCAGTGTTGGTGTTAATAACCAGAGTTGAACCAAAATCACACCCATCATTATCATATTTCATTGCTGGTTGATTTTTAGAAGTTATTTTTTTTCAATATCTCTGTTTTTGCATGTACATTAATTGATTACTTAATCTTATACTAATGAAATATAAATAACATACATTTTTTCTAAACTATTCCAGTCTGTTACTTCGTCTTAGTTGTTCCACTTTACTTTTTTTTCTTCACATTACTTAAAAAGACGTAAGCCTATGCCTATGTTACACATTAACCTATTAAAAACAGTACTGTAGCAATGAGCTTTGTGCAGTAGGCTAAAGGCCCAACACATTGTCACTGCATATTGGCTTTGCTTGAATTGCCCTGCCAATGCATTGTTGTTCAGATCATAAAAAAAAGATAGGATATATGATCACACTGGTAATAGATCAGTTGTTGTTTTTTTTACTCATATTCAATCTTGTCTCATTGCTGCAACTCCCCAACGGGCTCAGGAGAGGCGAAGGTCGAGTCATGCGTCTTCCGAAACATGACCCGCCAAACCGTGCTCCTTAACACCTGCCCGCTTAACCCAGAAGCCAGCCGCACCAATGTGTCGGAGGAAACACCGTTCAACTGATGACCGAAGTCAGCCTGCAAGCACCCGGCCTGCCACAAGGAGTTGCTAGAGCACGATGAGCCAAGTAAAGCCCCCCTAGCCAAACCCTCCCCAAACCCGGACGACGCTGGGCCAATTGTGTACCGCCCTATGGGACGACCGGTCACGGTCGATTGTGACACAGCCTGGGATCGAACCCGGGTCTGTAGTGACGCCTCAAGCACTGCGATGCAGTGCCTCAGATCGCTGCGCCACTCAGGAGGCCATAGATCAGTTGTTCTATTACTTGTGAGGCACAGCTGAGTGAGCAGACGTTTAAATATTTTGGTTTTTATTTTTATTTTACTGGGCTGATGGTGCCTGCATCTGATGGTGAGTCTCAGCGGAGGTATAAAAACAAATAAAGAGAGTTGCAACATGCTCAATGCCTATGTATAAACTTCCAGTAATTTATTGGGTAAGAAACCATCCAGTGCAATTAGTGCAACCAATGACAATAGTGAGGGGTGTGTCGTAATTGCTAGGTTAATCAGAATTAATTGAGCGAAACTGTTAAAAGACAATAGCCCACAGCATATTGAATATACACTGCTCAAACAAATAAAGGGAACACTAAAATAACACATCCTAGATCTGAATGAATTAAATAATCTTATTAAATACTTTTTTCTTTACATAGTTGAATGTGCTGACAACAAAATCACACAAACATTATCAATGGAAATCAAATTTATCAACCCATGGACGTCTGGATTTGGAGTCACCCTCAAAATTAAAGTGGAAAACCACACTACAGGCTGATCCAACTTTGATGTAATGTCCTTAAAACAAGTCAAAATGAGGCTCGGTAGTGTGTGTGGCCTCCACATGCCTGTATGATCTCCCTACAACGCCTGGGCATGCTCCTGATGAGGTGGCGGATGGTCTCCTAAGGGATCTCCTCCCACAGGGCGCCAGTGGCGAATTTGCCAATCTTGGTGTTCTCTGGCAAATGCTAAACGTCCTGCATGGTGTTGGGCTGTAAGCACAACCCCCACCTGTGGATGTCGGGCCCTCATACCACCCTCAAGGAGTGAGCAGACACACGTTTGAGCAGACACATGCACATTTGTGGCCTGCTGGAGGTCATTTTGCAGGGCTCTGGCAGTGCTCCTCCTGCTCCTCCTTGCACAAAGGCGGAGGTAGCAGTCCTGCTGCTGGGTTGTTGCCCTCCTACGGCCTCCTCCACGTCTCCTGATGTACTGGCCTGTCTCCTGGTAGCGCCTCCATGCTCTGGACACTACGCTGACAGACACAGCAAACCTTCTTGCCACAGCTCGCATTGATGTGCCATCCTGGATGAGCTGCACTACCTGAGCCACTTGTGTGGGTTGTAGACTCCGTCTCATGCTACCACTAGAGTGAAAGCACCGCTAGCATTCAAAAGTGACCAAAACATCAGCCAGGAAGTATAGGAACTGAGAAGTGGTCTGTGGTCACCACCTGCAAAACCAGTCCTTTATTGGGGGTGTCTTGCTAATTGCCTATCATTTCCACCTGTTGTCTATTCCATTTGCACAACAGCATGTGAAATGTATTGTCAATCAGTGTTGCTTCCTAAGTGGACAGTTTGATTTCACAGAAGTGTGATTGACTTGGAGTTACATTGTGTTGTTTAAGTGTTCCCTTTATTTTTTTGAGCAGTGTATTATAACATTGTTATCATTAGCAATAGCATAACATTAGCATCAACATACATTGTTTCATTTAATTTCACCTACAGTGTGGGAAAAAAGTATTTGATCCCCTGCTGATTTTGTACGTTTGCCCACTGACAAAGAAATGATCAGTCTATAATTTTAATGGTAGGTTTATATAAACAGTGAGAGACAGAATAACAACAAAAAAATCCAGAAAAACACATGTCAAAAATGTTATAAATTGATTTGCATTTTAATGAGGGAAATAAGTATTTGACCCCCTCTCAATCAGAAAGATTTCTGGCTCCCAGGTGTCTTTTATACAGGTAACGAGCTGAGATTAGGTGCACACTCTTAAAAGGGAGTGCTCCTAATCTCAGATTGTTACTTGTATAAAAGACACTTGTCCACAGAAGCAATCAATCAATCAGATTCCAAACTCTCCACCATGGCCAAGACCAAAGAGCTCTCCAAGGATGTCAGGGACAAGATTGTAGACCTTCACAAGGCTGGAATGGGCTACAAGACCATCGCCAAGCAGCTTGGTGAGAAGGTGACAACAGTTGGTGCGACTATTCACAAATGGAAGAAACACAAAAGAACTGTCAATCTCCCTCGGCCTGTGGCTCCATGCAAGATCTCACCTCGTGGAGTTGCAATGATCATGAGAACGGTGAGGAATCAGCCCAGAACTACACGGGAGGATCTTGTCAATGATCTCAAGGCAGCTGGGACCATAGTCACCAAGAAAACAATTGGTAACACACTACGCCGTGAAGGACTGAAATCCTGCAGCGCCCGCAAGGTCCCCCTGCTCAAGAAAGCACATATACAGGCCCGTCTGAAGTTTGCCAATGAACATCTGAATGATTCAGAGGAGAACTGGGTGAATGTGTTGTGGTCAGATGAGACCAAAATCGAGCTCTTTGGCATCAACTCAACTCGCCCTGTTTGGAGGAGGAGGAATGCTGCCTATGACCCCAAGAACACCATCCCCACCGTCAAACATGGAGGTGGAAACATTATGCTTTGGGGGTGTTTTTCTTCTAAGGGGACAGGACAACTTCACCGCATCAAAGGGACGATGGACGGGGCCATGTACCGTCAAATCTTGGGTGAGACCCTCCTTCCCTCAGCCAGGGCATTGAAAATGGGTCGTGGATGGGTATTCCAGCATGACAATGACCCAAAGCACATGGCCAAGGCAACAAATGAGTGGCTCAAGAAGAAGCACATTAAGGTCCTGGAGTGGCCTAGCCAGTCTCCAAACCTTAATCCCATAGAAAATCTGTGGAGGGAGCTGAAGGTTCGAGTTGCCAAACGTCAGCCTCGAAACCTTAATGACTTGGAGAAGATCTGCAAAGAGGAGTGGGACAAAATCCCTCCTGAGATGTGTGCAAACCTGGTGGCCAACTAGAAGAAACGTCTGACCTCTGTGATTGCCAACAAGGATTTTGCCACCAAGT